AGCACTCGTTTGCCGGATGTGTTTTCGAAAATTCTCCTTGAAATACGGAGGCCTAACTTGTGTGAAAATTCGGCCACAACTCCAATTTTTTGCACAAGAATAATAGATCTAATCCGCTCGTAGCTCATTCTGTGTTCGTTCGGAATTAGATCAGCTAAATTCTGTATTAGATCATGCCACTTCTATTTACGAACGAACCCAGATCTAATTTCGAATGAAGTCAGATCTAGTTCAGAATCGTTTACCTGAGCTCATGATACTCTTCGCATCCTTTATAAACTGCTGATAATTCGACAGAACTGGCTCCAATTTATATTGAATTTTGTATAAAATTGTGTTTTTGACAATTTTCTGAAAAAAAAAGAACTTGAATTTTAATATTTCTCAGATGGATTTTTACATTTCCCGCGATTTTCTCGATCACATAGCGTTCTGTGTCGATCTTCTCGGCCACTGGCATCTGAAAGTTAAAAATCAATAATGAATCAGGGATGTTCAGAGCGGAAATCCGATTTTTTCTCGAAATTTAAAAATTTTTGAACTACAGTATACCAAAGGCGCAAGCAAAAAGTTTCCTGGCGGATTTCGAGTGGAATTACTTCTTCTTGTGCTATCAAAATTTACTTGCCAATTTTCACCTATTTTTGATGGAATTTCTAATCGAAAATAGTCGAAAATCGGAACTTTTCTAAATTCCGAATATTCCTGACAATGCTAAGCTAAAAATATATATAAACCGCATTCAACAAATCATCAAAAAAAGCCTCGAAAACCTCAGAAATTCATTCGAGAAGAGTGTGTGTGTGTGTGTGCATAAAAATTGTTACATGTAAAACATATTTACATAATTCAGAAGAGATAATAAAAAAGAAGAAATTTATAACACCAAATCTTTGTAATTGTTGTTTTGAAATGAGTTCGTTGACGAATAGGAAGACACTGATGTGTCGATTTCGCTTTCATCGTCGTCGTGAAAGTAGCGAAGATCCAGATGAGGATTCAGAAGAGGCAAATACGGTGGTGGTCGTGTCGAATGGAGTATCGCGTCGAAATCCGTTTCCATGAAGAATGGATGCTTTTTGACGTCGTCAGTTGAATAGTATCCTAAGCGTGCTTCTGGGTGGAGAGCCATAAACTGAAAAATTCAGGGGTAATGGTTATTTTTGTTGAAAAGAGCCTTACTGAAATCAACAAGTCGTTGAATGTATACCAATCGTGAACTCTTGAATTCCTCCGCATCTCATCGACGCGCGAATCAAAGAATGGTTGCTCTCGAGTCTGAAATTTGATGTTTTCTTTCTTTAAAATTTAGGTAAATCAATAACTCACTCTCAACTGATACAACGACACGCCCACTGCCCACCAATCCGACTCAATTCCATACGGTTCTCGTCTCAAAACCTCTGCCGCCAAGTGCGTATTCGTACCGACTATTTCGTTGAGCTTCTCGCCTCGAGATGACAGCTTCTTGCACAATCCAAAATCAATAACCTTCAAGATTCCACCTCGCGTCAGCATCATATTCTCCGTTTTCAAGTCTCGATGAATATACAGATTGTTGTGCAAATACTCGACAGCGAGCACAATGGAAGCGGCGAAATAGGTGACGTGCTCTTTAGCGAATCCTTGATCGGTAAATGACAAATGAGTGTGGAGGTCTCCAGCTTCACAGAACTCCAGAATCAAATGAACAGCGTCATTCTCCACAAAGCTAGCCAGCAGTTCACAAATGAATGGGTGACTGATGTTTCTCAGAGTTTTCAGTTCACCAGTCTCCAGTTTTCCAGTCGTCGGATCTCTTTCAATAATCTTGATAGCACAATACATGTCATCCTCAATTCGTTGTCCCAGCTGAACCACTCCAAATGCTCCGTGACCAATTCTCTCCTTCAGTACACGATAAGAATCCATTGAATCTATTCGACATGGTTTGACCGTAGATGTTGATGGTGGTAAGAATTGGCTCATTGAAATTGGAGTTCTCGGATTGAAACGGGTCTGTGAGCCACGGGCGAGGATGCTGCCACTTTTTCGCATGCTGAGCGACAGCTTCGACGATCCATCCGTATAGCTTTCCTCGATTTTCTTATCTAGCGTTTGTTTCGGGTCGGAATATGTTGTCTGGAAATAAAGAATATAAAAGAACCCTGACGAGCCGTATTACCTGGAAATATAAGGATCCTTGTGGTATCAAGTCAACTGACATATGAGCAAATGTGGCGAATGGGCCTTTAGCATCATGCTCATCGAGAAGCGATTCTAATCGCATGGATCCAATGGCACATAGTGATCGACTATCCGTATGGTAAACCTCAAAATCCAGTTGTCTCGATTTGAAAAGTTGAATCGATTCCTCATCTCCTCCGACCATTGTTTTCTTCTCATTCCAAACCATCGTCGCCACCTCTTTTCCTCCCACATGAATCATCACAATGTAGTCGTTAGGTGCCGGAACTCGATGATGCCTTCGGAACCCGTGTCTTCCGAACACCGATCGTTTCTTTTTTATCGATTGTGCAAGATATTCAGATGCATAATTTCCGAAGCGCGGCTTCGTGTTATTCGGGAGATCTGCGAGACCTGTTACTCGAATATTCAGGAGTCCGGAGACTTGAACGGGAAGGGTGCAGTCTTTTTTAGAGCCATCTCGTGAGCGGCGAACGCTGATTGGTGTGCCGATTGATCTCAAAAATAGGCAATTTTGTTTTTCATTGTTTTTTGGGTGCAACTTATGGAATTCCTCTGATTTTCAGACAAAAAAATCTTGAAAAATTCGACGTGGCGATGCAAAAAAAAATACTGTAGCGAAAAGTGGGCGGAGTCAGAATTTTATAATTTTCCAATTCTAAAATCCTAAAGTTCTAAAATCCTAAAATTCTAAATATCTAAAATTTCGAAATTCCGCAATTCGAAATCTCTAAAATTCTGAAATTTTTATTGTTTTTTGACTAAAATTCTCTTGATTTTCAGACAAAAATGTGACGTGGCAATGCGAAAAATGCAAAAATCACTGTAGGGCGCAGAAAAATGGGCGGAGTCGGCGGTTTCTGCAGCCCTGGCACACTTGAACGGGCGGCGACGGGCGGCGACGGGACGCGCCGCGGCGCCGCATTGTAAAGCACTGAAAATTCAGCAAAAATGTAAAAAATTGCTGAAACTTTAAGTTTTCACAAAAAAAAATTGCAGAAAAATCAAACAAATCTCACTCTTTCTGATTGGAGCACTTAATGAGCAACTCCAGCTTCTCGTTGAGCATCAGAATCGTTTGCTCCGTCTCCCGAAGCACTTTCTCGTTCGGCGACTCCTCTTTTATCAGACTTTCTCGAACTTTCCGTGCTCCGAAATACATCGCCTGAGTGTTCCGAATTTGTTTATTTAAATTCGACGAAGGCGAAGTGTAGGTGTTAGTGTCGATAGTTGAGTTGTTCTGCATATGGAACAGTCTCATTTTTAGCGCTGTTATTTTTGATAGTGAAATCTGGAATTTTTTTACAGAATTTTTGCTTGCAGAAGAAGAAAGATAACCAACGTCAATTTGTTGTTTCATAGACATCAAATCATATGGCTCCTTTCGATCGATCGATTTCTTGCATCGATCCACAATTTGCTTCTCTCTAGTGATATCGCTCTGAAAATCACAAAAAAAAATCAAAAAAGTTTCAAAATTTCATGCTCATTGAGCACCTTGAGTCTATCCATATTGGGTGGCGGTGGAAAAAGTAGAAACTGCCGCTGGATCTTCGGGTGCGGGCTACATGGAGGTGAGGTGGCTGGTGACGTGGGCACGTGAACTGACCCAAGAAACCGCTGAGACAGCCGGTGCATGCGAGCTGGAAACTGGGTCAGGTTTTGAGCAAAAAACCTGAAATCAATTTAAAAAAAATCGGAAAATTTTTATCTTTTTGAGGTCATTTTTTGATCTACCAACTTTTTAGTCTAAGATTTTAAGTCTACCCATTAAGTCTATTTTGATCTTCACTTCCCCTTTCAAAAGTCATTGGAAATTTATCAAAATAAATGATGAGCGGCCGGTCACAAAGGGGCATAGCGAGGTGTCAATGAGCCTAAGATTTATGGTGGGGCAACCGCAGAAGCGGTGTCCCCTAGAAAAGGGACACCACCGCCTGTTGGTGACCAATCTAAACACTTGTGGTGCAATATGACTCCGTCGGAGGAAGATCTGTTGTTCTTTCGCTTGATTTATGACTGTTTTTCTGGGTTATGAAGTGTTTGGAATTTTAGAATTTTGGAATTTTAGAAATACAAAAGTTCTCAAATTCTAAAAGTCGGAAAATTCTAAAAATTCTAAAGTTCAAAAATTCAAAAATTCTAAAAACTTCAGAATTCTGAAACTGAAGAATTCTAAAATGCCTAATTGTAAGTTCTTGTGGGCGGAGCCTAAACAGCTCATTTTTTATTCCGAGAAAAGTGAATATTAAGATGTTTAAGTTAGCGCATTTTTCTATTAAATATTCATAAGAGCGTCGTCGGCTCTTCCTTTTTTCACTTCTCTTATCTTTCTAACATTTTCTTCTTACCGGTAATTAGCAACGGAGCGCTGTTGCTAATTACCGGTAAAGGCGGGAAACTACTTCTTGTGCTCAATGAGGTGCCATAATTGTTGCGATTTCCGGCCTTTGCCTCCGTCTTATTGACAGCTTATGCTTATGAAGAGGTGTTCCCGACGAGAAGCCGAAAAGGGAGAGAGAGAGAGAGAGAGAGAGAGAGAGAGAGAGAGGCAGAGAAAATGAGCAACAGGCTAGAAGGAGACGTGAACGACTTCTTAGGTTAGAATTTTAGAATTTTAGAGTTTTAGAATTTTAGAATTTTAGAATTTTAGAATTTTAGAATTTTTGGATTTTCGAATTTTAGATGATTAAAATTTTAGAATTTTAGAACTTTGGAATTTCAGGGTTTCAGAAATTTGGAATTTCAAAATTTTAGAATTTTAGAGTTTTAGAATTTTAGAATTTTCGAATTTTTGAATTTTTGGATTTTCGAATTTTAGATGATTAGAATTTTAGAATTTTAGAACTTTGGAATTTCAGGGTTTCAGAAATTTGGAATTTCAAAATTTTAGAATTTTAGAATTTTCGAATTTTTCAATTATTTAAATATTAGAAGGTCCCTGAACGAAAACTACCGTAACCAGCAAAGTTGTGTTTAATGTTTAAAAGAAATTTCACTGATTTTTTGACTATTTTTTTTAATTCCCCGGAAATCAGACGAATATTGAAAAATATCCTGTGGGGTTATTCACCAAAATGTAGAAAATTTCGAAGAAATGGAGAAAATTTCGCAAAACCGCGGAGAATGAACCAATCTCGCTGAAATTTCTGAGAAAATCGGAGAAAATTATAGAGAGCATATTCACAAAATTTGGGGTCAAAATATCCACTTTGACCATTTTGTCTGAAATTCCAGCCTAAATTTCAAAATTAATTTTGCGACCCCAAATTTTATGAATATGCTCTCTATAATTTTCTCCGATTTTCTCCAAAATTTCAGCGAGATTGGTTCATTCTCCGCGGTTTTGNGAAATTTTNTCCATTTCTCCGAAATTTTNTACATTTTGGTGAATAACCCCACTGTTCAAAAAAAAAAATAAAAAACAATTCTCCAGAAAGTTTTTTTGTCTAAACTTTTCAGACTTATATGATTACCGTAGTCTAGATCAAAAAACCCGAATGTTCCAAAATTTCTCATCCAAAACTTGCAATTCAAAATCTAGAATTTTTCAAAAATCCCACTTTTCTGAAATTAAAATCCCTGAAACCCAAAATTCCGAAAAAAAACTCTGTGATTCCCAAATTTTTCCTCCTCATCCAAACCCAAAAAGATCTAATTTCCCATGCCTCCTGTTCATTGTCATTTATCACTTCTTCTCTTTTTCGTATTCTTGTTCTTTTTCCAAAAACCATATGTTCCATTTTTTCCATTTCCCATGAATCCTATTCTCTTCTTTTCCTTCTTCTTCTTCTTCTTCTTCTTCTTCTTGTTCTTCTTGTTCTTCTTCTTCTTGTTCTTCTTCATTACCCACATTTTCCACATTGTTTATACGAAAAGAACAAAAAAAATGCGCCGAAAAAATGTCAGAATATCAAAACATGTCTCAGAAAATCTGTCTAAATTTCCTGTTATTTTTAGTCTAACCCTGTTTTCAGAGACCATAAGACTTATTACTATAGTTATTAATGATCATATACTATTTTTCGAAAAAAAAAAAGAAGGCTTTCGTCTTTTTTCTTCTCCTAATAGTAAGAAAAATGGGAAGAAGGAGAAGCTGAGTTTTGAGGCAAATGAAGTAACCAATTATTCAAATTTGAGTTGTTGTTGTTGTTGTTTGCTCTTCTCCCTTCTTCTTTTCCTTCGTCCCCCCTTGACCACATTTTTTCTTTAAGAATCTCCTTCATTACTAATCCAACTGACTTTCTAAAATTCTGAATTTCAAAATTTGAGGATTCTGAAATTCTAATGCCCCAAGATTCTAGGATTCTGGGATCAAAGTTTTGATACTCCATTGAATTCTCAAATTTCATAATATTGAGATTTAGAGATTTTAAGAAATTTTCAATTTATTCAAAAAAATAACATCTTTTTTGTCTGATTCAATTTTTCAATTTTTACGTATTCAATTTTCATTTCTTTCTGAAAACACTTAAACCGAATATTCGAACTATTTTATGAACTCAAATAGATAAAGTTTTCCATATAACCTGTTGAATAATTAATTCAAATTGGATTACGGTAGCTATGAAATACTGTAAAATTTGTACTATAAAGGGTTCAACTTTAACTCAATTTACCTCAATCCCTGTAAAAGATATCAAAAAGTAGTCAACTAATAAAATGCTTATTATAATATCAGCAATGTTTTATCAGTTGACAGCTTTTTGATATCTTTCACAGGAGTCGAGATATATTGGATCAAAGTTAAAGGTCAGGAGCCACAACCACGTAGCGCAGCCGGCGGAAGTGAGCAGGGGGTGGGTAGGGGTCCTAGTTTTACGGTACTATTATACTTTGAAATTTAATTAAAAGTGCATAAAATAAATCTCTAAAAATTACACTACCACATGAAGTCTTAAATCATTGACCTGTTTTAAAAACTCATATCTCAAAAACTACGGTAGCTACGAAGAAGTTGTCAATTGCAAAATTGAAGAACTACTTTTGTAGATCATATTCTGAAAATTTGAGGCAGATAGAAAAAGCTTTACGGTATACTGTAGAGCTTTTGAGGCTCACAATTTCGTTGTTTTTATCATTCAAGGATCCCTTGATCTCATTTTCTCCTGTTCAAAACTTCCAAAACTTTCCAAAATTTCTTCCAAAACCGATGACCCTTTTCCTCTATTCATAACAACAACATCACTAGGAACACCACCTCAAAAATATTTGCATTGATGAGAAGAGAAGAAGTTCACAGAAGCGTGTCGAATCTCGGGTGATGAATCCGTCAAGTAAACATTTCCCCCTGGCCGTTCCGCATGTTCCCTCCCCCCCAATACATATAATTCTTCTCCGTTTTCCCCCATTTAATAATAACCCCCTCTTCTTCTTGTTAACTTTTGACGCTTAATGAGCCTTCCCACGAGAGATTTCTCGCCTTCTACTCTTCTCCCTCATTATCCATCTCATGTTTCGTTTCGATGACAGCTATACGGGTCCCAACCCGTTCGAGATCAAAATATAATTAATTCTCAAGAAGATGAAGAAGAAGAAGTCAAAATGAACTTCAAAATGAAATGACTTTTGATAAGTTGGTGAAAAGAAGGACTCCTAAATTGAGCTCCGTCTAGTAGTAAAAAGTCCTCTTACTCGAAATTTAGACAATTTATCTCGTTTCCTGTAAAAGATATCAAAAAGTGGTCAACTGATAAAAAATTAGTAATATTATAATAAACATCTTATTAGTTGACCACTTTTTGATGTATTTCACAGGAACCTAGATATATGGGCTCAAAGTTAGGAGGTTGTCAGCCATTCAATTTTGAGTTTGCTTATTTCGGTTACTGGTAAAGATAACAAAGTTTTGTCAACTAGTAAAACGTTTCTGATATTATGGTAAATATTTTATCAGTTGATTACTTTTCGATATCTTTTACAAGAACCGAGATAAATTAGATCGAAGTTAAGAGGTCATCTGCCGACAGCGTAACTCAAGCGGCCAGCCGGTTTCTCAGCTTTTAGCGTATTATCTCGGCTCTTTTGGAAGATATCAACATTTTGTCAACTGATAAAACGTTGGTGATAAAATGAGCAATATTTCGTTAGTGGGCAACTTCTCAATATTTCTTACAGGAATCGAGATAACTTGCGTCAAAGTTAGAAGGCAGCCGCCGGCGCGTAGCTCAGCCGGCGAGTTTTTAAATTTTGAGCCGATTTATCTCGTTTTCTGTAAAAGAAGTTAAAAAGTGGCTACTGATAAAAAGTTTATTATAATATCAATAACGTTTTGTTAGTTAGAAATTTTTAAATAACTTTCACAGGAAATGAGATACTTGAAGTTAACAGGTCGACAGCCGACCTCGTGCTCAGACTGCAAGCGAAGACTTTTTAACTTGAAACTCATTTATCTCGCTTTCTGTAAATGATCTTTAAAAGAAGTAAACTGAAAAAATATTAGTGAAATTATGATAAACATTTTATTAATTTACACCTTTTTGATATCTTTTACAGGAAATGAGATATATGGGCTTGAATCCCCTTTTTTTGTAGAAAATAGTAAACTTTAATGCTCTACAATACTAGTCTAGAATGTTTCGATTAGTTTGAAAATGTTACAGTATATGAAACAAAGATATATCTTTGATATTGCAATT